CCCCCACCCACCGTCTACAGCATTTCGTAAATTTTATGCATCCGCGTTATTGTCACGCGCCGTGACTACAACTGGGCCCTACGTTGCTACTGCACAACACGGGACTTGGGTCTATATGACATTCGAAGTAGCCATAACCTCAAATTAACTGCGGAAGTCGTTGTACGTAAGGGACCGTCCCCAATTATACTGTTTGCAGGCTATAATGAAGCTTTGCAGTATCTTTTGGTGAATTTTAATTAGATATTTTTTTTATCTGTGACCGTAATTTTTTTTTGTTTTTTTTTTTCTCAATTACAATGCATTTTGAACTTTTTCCTTTTTTTTTTCATTTTTTTTTTTTATTGTAAACGTTATTTGCACCAATGCAATAAATCGTTGAATATCGCCATATTGTTTTTCCGCTAACGGAACCTAACCTCTATTATTTAGTATCGTTACGCGATACGTTTAATCGTCACTGTACGCACGATAAGGGACAAGAATCGTATTTCATGTGAAAACACTGGTGCCTGCTTACTATCTACGTATACAGTGGTACGATACGGATAGAGTATTTCTACAGTGCGCTGCATTTCCGAGCTAGATAGGATTGCCCGGGCCAGCGCGGTTTGCGCCTCTTTAAAAGCAGCGGCGGGCAACGCACGAAAGGCAATTTAAAAGACATTACCGAAAAAAACGAATAAAGGACCAGGAAATATGAATATTCATGCGCTGCGAAACCTTCTTCGTTCCGCGTTCAATTCGCATCCCATTAGAGTGCCCTGGTAGTTTTTTTAGTTTTTTCTTTCTTCTCTTTTTCTTTTATAGACCACAGCTTTGGTATTTTTTGGAAAAAAAATTTATGGATGCAGCGGAAATTCGAGTATCGTTATATCGAGAAGGTAGAGGGGTAGGGAGGGGGGAGGGGGTCTTTTAATTTTTTTTATTCAAATATATCAAAGTAAGAGTGTGGAAATTATTTGATTAATTATGGGGGAATTTGGATTTTTGAATTTCCCGCCAATTGGCTTCACCGTGCTTTACGGGGCTGGTTATAGCGAATTAGATAAGACGAAATAATAGGACGGTCGAAATATACTTATTAGTGGTTGTCAATTGTCAGGTCTGACAAATTACAGACGAGTCAGGTTTTCGTGTCTGCGACGCCCACGGGAGGTTCTGTGAAATATTGTTGGCACACGACGCCCGGCGTCGTGACTATTGTCGAGTATGGTGTCTGATGTGCTTTTAAATGCAGGTTAAGTGCTTCTGTGTTAATGATTGAGTGGATGTTAATTACTGGATTTGTAGGTGCGATGTTACCGGAGCCTCGGGGCAGGGTGCTCTCTTGAAATTTTTTTATTTTAACGTTGGCACCTGCTCGCGAGCGTCGCCGTCCCCGTGCTTTTTTTTTGTGAAATTCTCCGCGATTATGCAAAGCGTGAAGAGAAATGTGGATAAATTGTGGAGAGAGAAAAAATTTTTTTTATCCAACCAAATTCGCGACACTTATTACGAACAGATGCGACCTGTATTGATAGTCGGTCAGGTTGCTGGACTGTTTCCTTTTTTTCGTGATAATTTTGGTATTCTTGCATTTATAAAATTTTTACAGTGCAGCGAATCGTATAATGCAAATATTTATACTCGCTATTTTAATTTTTACTCGTATCGGTATTGTGACATTTTTTTTTTTTTCAGGTATTTTCAAAATTAACTGGATCTCTTTCGAAATCTTGTGGACGATGCTGTTTTACATTTTGAGTATGTGCAGCACTGGCTATACTCTTATGCTGAGGGTGAGTACATTTTTAATTGTACGTTGAAGCAATTTGGCTTTATGGTTTTTTATAATTTTTTTTTTTTTTTTTTTTTTTTTCTCAGCTTCTCAGCTATCCAGTAATTCCAATGGTCATATTTTAAACGTCTCTCGATGCAAATCGCGATTAGTTTTTTACTTTACTAACCGAGCTTTCTTGGTATTCCAATTTCTACCTCTCTATCTCCTTTCCCCTCCAGCCCCTTATTCCGCACTATTTTTCCGTTTCACTCTTTTTTTTTTTTTTTGTTTTTTTTATTTTTTTTTTTTTTTTTTTTTTTTTACGAATTTCATTGATTCCAGTTTCGATTTTTCAATAATCCTGATTTACCGTTCGACGACTATCTATTCAATTTAATATTTATATGCGTCGCGGCGGCACATTGGATTCTGCTCAGTGCTGCTCTACTGTCCGCCAAAAGAATAGCCGAATACTTATCCACGTGGAATGAATTTCAGGTAGGCGATGTTTTCGCACGTTAAAAAGGAATTATTGCAATTTTTAAATCTCCCGCCGATTCCTCTATCAAAACTCGTTTGGAATTTACTTCCCCCCCCCCTCCCCTTCCCAAATAACGAAGTAACTATATAAATTTAATATTTTTAACCCACCCTCTATATTACACTATTACTATATACACGCAATTCTCATTAAAATTGTATTAGCAAAAATCATAGTCGACATAAATTACAAAAAGACAAAAAAAAAAAAGAAGAAAAAAACCAAATTCTCCGCCCAGTACATTTCCTGTTTAATTACCTCGCGATAAAAATCTCGGCAGTGGATTACAAGCAACTAATGCCCTAAGGTAATTTTTGTAGAGACATTATCATTCGGTCACGAGACGCAGGATACAACTTAATTTCAAAAAGCGCGCCACAATTCTACTAATGGCTACCATTATACATGGCATTATTCATCCGCTAATACAAGTACTACTATTGGGCACCTTTACCTTCTCCGAAGCGACGTCCTACGAATACATTATATTCCTCCAGGGCTACCTGTCCGTATTCTGGGAGTCACAGTGCAGATCAATAATAATGACAGCTCGTGGATTACGTGAATCTATGAAAAAGGTATTTAAAATGAGAGAAAAATATACACTTACGGATAACGGTATCGAAGCGTGTCAAATTCGAAGATCGCCATGACGTCATATGTCGCACGTCAAATAATATTTAATTAACTCAATAACAACTGTTCTTATATTAATTCCAGGAACTGACGACCAATCCTTTGACGATAAGAGTCGAGCAGTATCGAATACTGTGGCAACATATCAGTGACGTAATAAACAAATTTTCTCGTGCAAGTCATATTATTTTTGGCTGCTACAGCATGTGTCTCTACACTATCGTGATGGTTTCTGGTTATTGTCTTTTATCTCACCTGCTCAGCGAACGCGAACAAATATTTAGTAACAAGTTGGGCGGCTATTTGGTCGCCATTTTATTCCATGCGATGAATTTATTCGTACTGTGTTACTGTAGCCATCAAATGCGTCGCGAGGTTGTCGAATTCGTTGTCGAGGATTTGACGGAATTAAAGGTCCATCGATTAAAATTTAATCAGCAAAAGGAAGTAAGAATACTAGCCGTTAATTTTTTTTCGTGGCAAATACAAACTTTTGTTTACTTATACAATTTTTATTTCACATTTAATGCAATTCCCTTTGATAATTAACCAAAACACTTTTATACGTATACCTGTGATTTCGGATATTTCAGGTGTTCCTCTTTCTCGGTAGTATCAGCATGAATGATCCAAGGTTGATTTTACTGGGTAATCACACAATTGGAATGTCCACCATTAGTAATGTTTGTCTTCTTCCGATGCTACTAATTCAATATTTCATTTCGCTGTGTATAAAGAACGTGTATAATTTTGTTTTTGCAGTACGTATCCACGTGGGCGATGTATTACCTTGTTTTACTTCAGTTTAAAGTCACTCTTCCCCGTGACAGTTAACTGTTGAAGCTTAATAAAGGAAAACACTCCACTTAATACACTGCAAAGAAATTTATATATTTTCGGTAATGATGTTCCGTAATTTAGCAGCCAAGCGGGGTTATACTCGTTGAGTGGTACGTAGAGCGCCATCTCTTAGGCGACGCAGGAACTTCGATCGTCGTTTACGTAGAGGGCAGCACTTCCTGGGTACTAGCATGGTACCGACGGAACTTGGACTGTCATAAAGACGTGCTGCATCGGATTTTGAACGATCAGCTTTTCCAGAGACAGTCATCCTGTTTGTTTCTTTAATTAGAATGTTCCTAATCGTCATAATTTTTATGTTAAAGTCTTACTCACATGTTGGATTTAGAGTCTATGATATGTGATAGTCACCACTAAATCACCTTGACTGTATTAACTACACTTGGGAAGCTAAATAATTCTGCCAGGTAACAGACTGGCGTAGTTCCGGCAGAACTTATGGAATTTTTTTGTTTAATTATTCGAGCATTTTAATCTTTAAAATATTACGGGTAGAGCTTTCCATATTCACATTTCTGTCATATTATCCATATCCTGACTTCGCTTTTTTTCATCAACACTACCTTGTACGATAAAATGATTCCGAATGTCATTCGAAAATCGAATCATCAAAACTTCAGTCGGTCAATTTTTGTTAAAAGAATTTTCATTAATTCGAATAGTTGCCGATAAGGGGGCAGCACCTCCTGGGTGTGGAATTCCGGTGCACAGGTAGAGTAAGTAGATTTGATTTATTCTATATGAAGGTTTTATTTATGAGATCAATATTTAAAAAATAATGATCGAGTCCCGAACCTGAGAATTCTCCGCGCTAACCGATAAACTCTATTAAAGAAATAATCAACAATAATTGGCAAATTCAATAATATAACTAAGTGAATTTAGTTGAATTTAGTAATTGAGTGTATGTTAGGTAGCTTTACTGAGTACGTTTACACTCACAGGTTTTAGAAAGGATTAAATCACGTTGGGCATTTCTTTTTGACAAAAACTATCTCCTTTTAAAATCGAAACCAAAATCTATTAAATTAGAAAACCGAAACCGAAAACCACAAATGAAAAACGATGAATGCAAAACCAAAAACCGAAAACTAAAACCAACATTTAAGCTTTTACCATTGTGAACACCGTAACCGAACCGATATTTCTTTCTGTGACAATCCCTGGTTATATCTAACTAGATTCGGGTGTTCGCGTTCTGCTAATATCGTTTACTGGTAAGTAGGATTGCATAATGGACATGATCGCCTGCAGAAATGAGTAGGGAGATGCACAACACTACGGTTTTAGACGATACCAAAATCACGGCGCTAATTTGTAGCGGCGAGTCTGGAAGTAGGATTTTGTGATCATCGTCTCCGTCGACAATGCGAATCTCGTCGTAGCCGAGCTAAACGTGAACGCGAACGTGTAGCTTGGCGGGCAGAGGTTCTCCGCTACTCACCATTGGTTCCCAAAGCAACCCTTAAAACGAGACCGGGAACGATAGAACTTCTAAAGAACTATTGAAAAAGCCTATTGTTGAAAGATTTTTAAGACATTATTCAGAAAGTGCAGTGCCGACTTGACACCCGTGTAGCACCTCAACTTTTACTAAACATTATTGGATACTGATTTCCTTTCAAAATCTATTCAAAATATAAAATCGAGGCTAAACCAAAATCTCGCAGAATATACGTAGTAGATAAAAATTGAACTGAAATGGTAGAATATCGAAAATAAATTACATTCACATTGAAATATTAATAAATTAGGTGTTAGGAACATTAAAATAATTAATTAAATCAATAGGGTAAAATATTAACACCTAGAAATCGGAAATTTTGGCCAAGCATATTTAGGAGTACTGGAAGTTTCCCAAAATTGTGTGCGCGCAAATTCGTCGCGCAGGACTCAGCGAGTGGGAGCAGGCGGACGGTGGGGGCAGCGCTCGAGGCAGTGCCCAGACTCGGCGCTCATTCTTCCTCGAGCCGGTCTCCTATACTGGTCTCTTGGAACCACCCCCATATCCATTTCGAACCTTCTTCTATTTTTATATTTATTTCTTCTTTACTTCTTTATTTCTTTATCTTTCATTCTTCACTTTCTTATTATTCTCTTTCCTCATTTCTTCTCCACTTTTATAACTCTATTCCTTACTTTTCCACTTCTTCACTTCTTCATTTCTTTCTTATTATTTTATTGTCACTTCTTTATTTCTATATCCATTTACAACCTTCTTCTTCTTCTATATTTATTTCTTCATTAATTCCTTATTTCTTTATCTTTCATTCTTCACTTTCTTATTATTCTCTTTCCTCATTTCTTCTCCACTTTTATAACTCTATTCCTTACTTTTCCACTTCTTCACTTCTTCATTTCTTTCTTATTATCTTATTCTCAATTCTTTATTTCTATATCCATTTACAACCTTCTTCTTCTTCTATATTTATTTCTTCATTAATTCCTTATTTCTTTATCTTTCATTCTTCACTTTCTTATTATTCTCTTTCCTCATTTCTTCTCCACTTTTATAACTCTATTCCTTACTTTTCCACTTCTTCACTTCTTCATTTCTTTCTTATTATC